GGGGGGACCCCCCCCCCGCCTTTTTTTGGGGAGACAGACATTTAGTGAAAGGACAATCCAGACTCGCCTCAGACACGCAGCGGTTTAGGACACACGCCTCCGGCAACAACACCCCGGAGGGCCACACGATGATGTGGTGGGACCGCCTTTTGGGCACGTACCGCCCACCCGACGCGGTGGGGGTCTTCAACAAGAGCGGCGAGGGCGAGCTGCTCGGAGGAACAGGATTACGCCCCGCGCGAAAGGCACCCCCTTCCCTCCCCCCCTTCCCGCTCGGCAAGCCGGACAGGCTGGCCGAGGCGGCCGTCTACGCCGGCACGCGGGGCGAGGCGGGCAAGGCGGTGGTGGAGCACGCGGGTGCGGGAGCGGCGCCGAGGCGGAGGGAGCGGGTTGAGCCGGGCGCGCGCGCGCACGAGGACTAGGCGACGGACACGCGTCTTGTCTGTCGCTGCACTACTCTGCAGGCGAGCTGACTGTGCGGCTGCAGAGAGTCGTTTTCCGCGGGGTGGCGCGGAGACGTTTTGCTTAACTGTGCGAGCAGCCCGGCCGGTTGCGCCGTTGTCGTTTTCCGCCGCACCCCCCCCCGGCCACAATCTCAATCAGTAACAACACAACCATGACATGTACAACATGTAGCGACTAGCGTCTACCATAGGTGTAGAGAGGGGGGCTTGATATGGTGGTATGTGGTAACACTCGAGGCGTATACACGCTTTTAATATTTACTCCACAATATTCAGCTTTGCCGGTTGCGCTGCGCCCGGTCCCCCTCCCCGCTGCCGCTCCCCGGTCCCCCGGTGGCAATGCGGTGGCCGGTGGCCGGTGGCGCTGGCGGGGCTGGGGGGGCCTCTCAACTCTCCCCTTCCCCTTCCCGGCGGTTGGCTCTCCCACGCCCCACGGTACGGCCGGTGTGGACACTCTCCCCAGACACCTCGTCCATCTCGAGAGCGAGCCCCTGCGAGCGCACTCTGTGCACTATGAACACACAACGGGGTATGTAGCATCTTTTCTCAGTCATCATCGCCATCAGCGACCACGCTATTCGGATCAGGCTCGTTATCGCCTGTGCGTGGGGCGGGCAATGTCAGGTTAATCCGAGGTGCGGCTGAACATGTGCATGTGGAAGCGAACGGGAGGGAGTGCGAGAAGAGGTGTGCGAGCAGGCAAAATCGGCCACATGCCCGGCAACCGTGGTCTGCCCGGGTGTGGGGCGAGAAGGCTCGCGGGCCCGGTGAGAGGGGTGGCTTTGGCACTTGAGCCCGACGCTAGCTCGAGGACAGCGGGCATGCGAAAGCCCGCTGGAGCGTAGCGTATCGTGCCGGCGGGGGAAGGTGCGGTGTGTTCGGCAGCTTGGCACCCGTCTCTCCACGGGTGAAGGACGGGCATTAAGGGCTTGCCTTGTGGGTGTGGTCTAGCGCTCACAGAAAAGCGGCATCCGCCCATCGGGGGGGGGGGGGCAGAGACGCGCGACTGGTGGCGCGGGTGTGGAGGTAGACGGGACTGATGGGGGTGGGGGTGCAGGGCGGTGGGGCGGCGGACCCCGGCACCACCGCGCTGTCCACGACTTGAAGGGTCGCGCCGTAGGACCTCTTGGCCAGGTTTTATCCCGGGGCCGCCCCAACGAGTCGGGGGGCTGGAGCGGCCACGAGGTGCCCTCCCGCGGGGTGAGCACGCCGCAAAGGAATGCGCGCCGATTGGCCGGTCCCAGATGGAGTCGGCGTCGTTGCCTGACTCTCAGACGGAAGAGTCGGCGGCGGAGAGTGTCATTGTGCGTGCGTCCCACCTGTCGCCCCACCGCGCAGGGCGAAACGGGGCTGCCAGGGGAGCAGGGGGCAGAAGGCTGGCGGGGCAGTGGCTGCGCCACGTGGGATTAGGTAGCACGGATTCACACCTTCTTTTTTCGGTGGCCTTCCAACTCCACTGGCGTCTCTTCTCAGTCTAGCGACCTGCCTCCAGCTTCTCACACGAGTGATCGAGTGTGCTCACTACAGTCTGCACACATTGCCTGCTCAGTATCACTCGCCATGCTGAGATGGCCATGTATCATCGGCTTGTGTATCATCATCAGCTGATTTGGCAACCCTCCGAACCCCCTAACCCAACCCATCCGACCACCCATTCGCTGCTGCACAAGGCATCGTAACGGTCATCGCCTTGTGCATCGTTGCCTACATCATCTACCTCATTGTGACGGGCAAGGATCCGGATGCGGAGCCAGCCGGCTCCAAAGGTGCCGATTCTGCCTGACCAGCTCGTGGCCTGTGCGTCTGGTTGAGATGGCAGATGATCAGCAGATGCGTGACGCATTGCGGGCAATTAGTATGAGAGAGGAGCCGCGCTCCGCGTGTCAGTAGTCGAAACTCTCTCGTCTCTGCGAAACCTACTCCGCTCCGGGATAGTGGGTCGAGGAGATGTCTTCAGTGTTGGTTTTCAGTCGTGGTGAATTTTGTCCTGAAGCGTTGTGCTTAGTTCCCAGTTGTGCTCAACCTCGGTTCTCAGTTATGAGTGGTTGGTAAGTTCTCGAGTTGTGGCTTGTGTACGTAATCGATTTGCGGGCGATTCGCTATTGGAGATGCAGTTTCCAGTTACGCGTTATACCACATACCAGTACGCAGTGGCGCTGAGGAACCCTGTCGATGAAGACGACGACCGCTTGGAGTACCTCGTCTCTGGTTCGGCAGGTCCCGACGACCGTGGCTTCCATTCTGTCGCTTGGTTTTTTCACGGCGACTTGCTGGACCATGCAGGTGCGGACACGGTCAAGGCAGCGATACAAGAGTATTAGAACTGGATAAGGAATTCACGGCGCTGGCGGAGGCGTGTGACGAGGCTGATGCTGAGTAGCCGCACCAGCGGGCTGCTCAGCGGCAGTGTGCGCCGACCAGGGGCAGGGCCAGTGGTAGACAGTGGACGTGGTGAGGCTGCTCTCTGAGCGATGACACTAGCAGGAGCATCATGAGTGTCCTCGGAGTCACTTGTGTTACGATATCACCACGCCGCCACGCTCGCAAGGGCCGCCTAAGCGCCTAAGCACCCTAAGCACCCCCCCGCTTAGGCCGCTTAGGCGCTTAGGCGAGTGACGGCCGACTCCCCGGGGCCTGGCGTGCCTCCGCCATGGGCTGAGCGCCTGGGAGAGCCACTCAGCAAGTGGTGTGCGAGCGTGCAGCCATTAGCGTGCAGTCGGCCAAGCGAGTCTGTGTGTGTCACCCACAGATCCGCGGCCACTCCTCCTGACCGATCCCCGGCCTAAATTTGGGCCGAAAGTCGTGCCACGTGAGCGAGTCTATCCGCCAGCCGCCGCCGCCGCGCTTGAGCGTCCACCCGAGCTTGGCCTCGACGTCGCCGCCGGCCTGGGCCGAAGAGCGCCATATCCTGGAAGGCCTCGTTATCGTCGAGCTCGAGGCAGTCGGACGGTAGCTCGATCCCACCCTCAGCGTCGAGCAGCAGGCCATATTGTGTGAGCACCATAAAGTCAGTCAGAGCCTCGGGAGAGAGCCGGCCTGGAGCGCCCGCCAACACAAAGTCGGGCGTGCTGAACCGGAGTAAGCATGCGGTGCCGCTGTGTGGCCGAGGCTCGCCGTTGCGCCGCATCGCATCCACCACGATGCCAAGCACCTCGCGCGGCGCGAACGAGGCGGACGGCTGCGGCCCGTCCCACAGAGCCCGCCCGCGCAGCGCCTGCTCGTTGACGCGAGCCCACGCGCTGTCGATCGTGCAGAGCGCTGGGGCGGCCACAGACAGCAGCATACACACACAGTGTGTGCTGTGCTTAGGCTGCTAGGCGGCTCCTGGGCTCGATTCTTCCGCCGGGGCGAGTGCTTGGGGGTGCGAGACTGACTGAGACAAAAGAACTCTCTCTGCAAAGAAAGGGCGACCCACCCAAGGGTGGGCGACGGCTAGCACCAGTAGGAGGACCGCGCCTGCCCCCGTGCCGCCGGGTGCAACCTGTCCTATACGAGAGAGGAATCCCTGGGACCCTGTCGTGTGGGTGAACCCTGCCCAGCCCCCCTCCGTGTCGCGATGCGCTCCCCGCTCCCGTTCCCGTGAGTGAGAGTGAGTGAGTGAGTATTGAGTACACACACACACTCACACACACTCACTCCCGTTCCCCTGTGTCCCTGATCGTCCTTACAAGATCCTGCTCGTGTGCAGGTGGGGACCCTGTCCTTCTCCCACCCCTCGTTTGGCGTGCGCGTTTTATTTATTTATTTATTGGCTAGCACCACACTCCTCTCCTTACTTAAAATACCTGTGTGGTGGCGGCGTGCCGTCCTCCCATCCCTCCCTTGGGTTGTCTGTTTTCTTTCTTTCTTTCTTCTTTAAATTCTTCTTTCGGACCAGCTGAGTAACAAACTTTCGCACGCTCAGCACCTTGATGAGGTCACATGGACCACCAAGAACTGGCACGGGCTGCAGATGCAGCGCTTGTCTGTCGTTCTCCACACCGCCGTGGCGTGGCAGACGGTGAACGAGCTAGCGTGCGGGGACAGCGGCATTGTGCACGGTGCTAAGTGCATTGCCGTTCTTAACGGAGTCGCTTAGGCGGCTCCGGTGGTGTGCCGGTGATAGTACTAGCACGCGCCAGTTCGCACCTGTGTCGAGCCTGTCTGCTGTGAGAGAGAGTTGTTTTGTTTAAATTCTTCTTTCTGGTGTACCTGTGTTAGTGTAAGTGCGCGCCAGTCCCGTGCCCAGTGTTGTGCGAGGGAGTTTTGTTGTAAAATTCTTTTTCTGGCAGGGCCTTCTGCTCGCAAAATCAGTAGGCACTGCGTGAGCCCCCATCCGGTTCTAGGAATGGAACCCACTCGCCAAGACTAGCCCTACCATACTCGCTGCAACCTTCATGCCACCTCGCGGTCGACGCGTCCCTTAGGCTGAATTTGGAGCTGTATTCTTGGCATATTCGAGAATATAGACCCTGTTTGGGACAAGAATACGGAAAGAATACGGGAAAAGAATATAGATAGTACTCGGCGAGAAAAACGTATAAAGGCCAAGCTTTGGGCCCAAAAAGCAAAATCAGCCAAATCGCTAATCGGCAAAATACCGGGTATTTTGCGGGTATACCTGGAAAAACCTGGAAAATACCTACGACCGCCTGGCCCTGGGTATCGTGCCGATTTCCTCAATTTTGCCTCAGATTTTGCCCCAGAGCCCAGAAACTTGGAGCACTTGGAGTGCAGTCATCAACCTCACATCCAGGGCCGGGGAGCTGAGGAGCGCACCCAGCGGGCCGGATGATCGGGATCGGGTTACGGGCTGGAAACTTGGAGCACCAAACACCCTCTGTTTTCCCTCGAAATTTCCGGAAACGCAAAGTGCTGGGGACCCTCTGTTTTTGACTTGTATTTTTTCCTTTTGTTTGCCGGGAAAGTATATGCAGGTAGGCCAACGCGTCCCACTCTCGTCGTTCTCTCTCCTGTCGCTTCATCCTCTGTCGCGTCGCTCTCCTCTGCCTCGTTCTGCCATGTATGTAGTTAGGAAGGTGAAGAACAGCCAGAAACAACCCCCGATGTTTTTCTCCATTCGCTCCGATTCGCGCTTTCGACTCCTTGCTTGCCTTGAGTGCTTGCGCCAAGTGCTCATCGATGCCCGAGAATCGGCTCGCACGCAACGCGCAAGAGCCTCTTGGCAAGCCCAAGGCTCGATTGGGACTACGCCCTGGCGCTGTGACGATTCGGCAGAAGGAGAGCTCGTGGGCTGCGCCTGCTCTCGATGTTCAAGAAACGCCCACGACCGCTGACGTGATGGTGGCACCTCAGATCCGACCAGCTTCGCCTCCTCGCGCAGCCCGCAAAATCTGCACCGAGTGCCGGGTTGCTATTGCCGGAAGCGTCTACATGCTCAACGACTTGTCCTATTGCTGCGAGCGGCACCGGCTGGCGGCATTCCGGCGGCTCGAGTTGCCGGAGGGTCCTCCTCCGGCACGCCTGGAGGCACCCCCTCCTTCTTTTGTACTGCCACTGCCTACGTTGTTTTCCTCCCGGTTCATCTGAAGCTCCTTAGACCAGCGCACAGCGCCATAGGACGTATTTTGTCATGCTCATGGCCGGTCCGCCGGGCGCCGCCGTCCGGGGGGGCGGGGGGTCCGGTCTCCGCCGCGACCGCCGCCGTTGTGTGGTCGGTGCAATTTGTCTCGCCTCTCGAGACACTCGGAGAAAGCTGGCTCCAAATTCAAACACACTCAACCTAGCGTTGGCCTAAAACAAAACCTGCCCCCTTCCTGGCTTCCACCAAAAAAGTTGGTAGCTGCTGAAAGAGTCGTGCGGAAGACGAAGAGAAAAGCCGGAAGGCTGGGTTCTGATCAGAGAGCGCAAGGGCTTGTCTTGACGACGTCAGCTGGCCCCGCTGCTGGCACAAGCCAGCGGCGGCGGCGGCGGGGGCGGCGCGGGCGGCGGCTTCTCGTGCTGGTACTCATCTGCGCCTTCCCCGGAGGCGGCGAGCTCGGGCGGCGGAGCTGGAGCTGCACCGGCGGCGCGTATGCGGGGCGGCTGTCTACCCTGGAAGGAGCTCTGGCTCTCGCAGAGCTCGAGTTCGTGGGTCAGGCGGAGGATGACCTGCGGGAGCGGCACCGGCCGCGGGCGTGTCGCGGGCGTGTCGCGGGCGTGTCGCGGGCGTGTCGCGGGCGTGTCGCGGGCGTGTCGTGGACGTGTTCAGCCGCTGTGCGGTGTCGGCCGGGAGTGCAATGCCGGGAGCGCGCGCCTTCCTCTGCGACGCGAGCTCGAGCTCTAGCTCCTCAACCTAAGGAGTGGTTGAGTGATCACTGGTTGAATGAAGCTGTCACTCATCCATAGCTCGAGCTCCTCTGCCTACTCTCCACTCCCTCCCACCACCGGCCTACTCTCCACTCCCTCCCACCACCGGCCTACTCTCCACTCCCTCCCACCACCGGCCTACTCTCCACTCCCTCCCACCACCGGCCTACTCTCCACTCCCTCCCACCACCGGCCTACTCTCCACTCCCTCCCACCACCGGCCTACTCTCCACTCCCTCCCACCACCGGCCTACTCTCCACTCCCTCCCACCACCGGCCTACTCTCCACTCCCTCCCACCACCGGCCTACTCTCCACTCCCTCCCACCACCGGCCTACTCTCCACTCCCTCCCACCACCGGCCTACTCTCCACTCCCTCCCACCACCGGCCTACTCTCCACTCCCTCCCGCCACCGGCCTACTCTCCGCGACGCGAGAGGGGAGTCAGCGGGGAAGCCGGCCCCTCAGGGCAAGGGCTACGCGCCATGCTCTCGGCAAGGGCTGCGCAGGGGCGGGGGGGGTCGGAAAGTGGTGATTCTATGTGTCGGAAGGTGGTCGCGAGCAGCCAGACCTGCAGCCGCTGCTGCGCCTCCCTCTGGCGGACCGCGTGCTCGGCCGGCGCCGCCTTGAGGTGAGGTGAGGTGAGGTAAACGTCTCCGCACACGAGGTGGAGGCGCTCCCTCCTCCGCGTCCGAAGGCAGGAGCACCGCGGCGCTGAAGGTGCAAGGACCCGTGCGGGTGGGTGGGCGGGGTGTGCGCGCGCCGCCTTCGCTGAGTCGCCGCCGTAGTCGCGCCGGTGGTTGAGAAGGGAGAGGAAGCCCTGACAAACACGGTGCGAGGTGCAGCCGAGGTGCAGCCGAGGTGCAGCCGAGGTGCAGCCGAGGTGCAGCCGAGGTGCAGCCGAGGTGCAGCCGAGGTGCAGCCGAGGTGCAGCCGAGGTGCAGCCGAGGTGCAGCCGAGGTGCAGCCGAGGTGCAGCCGAGGTGCAGCCGAGGTGCAGCCGAGGTGCAGCCGAGGTGCAGCCGAGGTGCAGCCGAGGTACAGCCGAGATGCAATCGAGATGCAGTCGAGATAGAGCTGAGGCGCACCTTCCAAAACACATTGACGATGTTGACGGCGAGAGGCTGCAGCCCGACCGGCACGAACCAAAAGTTGGCCGTCTGCAGCGGCGCGGAGGAAGGTGTCATCCGGAGGCAACCTGGCAGCGTCTCGGGACCTGCCGGTGCCACCGGCTCCTCCTCTCTGTGGCGGCGTCGAGAGCTGAGAGAGCGGTGTGGGTGAGAGGGAGAGGGAGAGAGGGAGAGGGTGAGAGAGGGAGAGAGGGAGAGAGGGAGAGAGGGAGAGAGGGAGAGAGAGAGCGAGAGAGAGGGAGGGAGGGAGAGAGAGAGAGAGAGAGAGAGAGAGAGAGAGAGAGAGAGAGAGAGAGAGAGAGAGAGAGAGAGAGAGAGAGAGAGAGAGAGAGAGAGAGAGAGAGCTCCTTCTCCCCCGCCCCAGGACGCGTGACCAGACTGACGGCCGGCCTGACACCTGCAGCGGGGCCCAGAGGAGGACGCCATACGCCCAGGCGGCGTGGAAGTTGGTCTGCGTCTTATGGTAGACGGCGGCGGGCGAGAGCCCCTCGAGGAACCCCGTCACCTGTTCACAGCACGACGCTGTGAAGAGCCGCTGCGGCGGGCGCGAGGGCGTCGGGAAGGCGGCGGGTCACCACAAAGTAGCAGGTGAGGAAGGGCGCCTGGAGAGGACACGTCGGGGACGTGTCGGGGACAGGTCAGTAGCTACCGTCGCAAGGCTTGGGCTAGGCGTGGGGTCTGAGGTGGCGAGGGCGAGGCGCAGCAGGCGCCTGGAAGAAGAGGTTGTCGAAGAGGACTTTGACGGCGACCTGCGCGAGAGGAGGCGAGAGGAGGCGAGAGGAGGCGAGAGGAGGCGAGAGTAGGCGAGAGGAGGCGAGAGTAGGCGAGAGGAGGTGAGAGGAGGCGAGAGGTGGCGGGAGGAGGCGAGGGTAGGCGAGAGGAGGCGAGAGGAGGCGAGAGTAGGCGAGAGGAGGCGAGAGGAGGCGAGGTGTGGCGAGAGTAGGCGAGAGGAGGAGGGCGGGGAGGGAGGGGGAGGGAGGGGAGGAAGGGAGGGAGGAGGCTATCTCGCCATATCTCCCCCATATCTCGCCATATCTCGCCATACCTCCCTCGCGCGGTCGCTCGGTGATGCGAGATGCTCCACCTACCAGAGATTACGCGAGATTACGCGAGATGCTCCACCTGGCAGAGCAGGCTCAGAGCAGGCTCGGAGCAGGCGCGGAGGAGCCGGAGGAGGCGCGGAGGAGGAGGCGAGGAGAGAGAGGCGAGGAGGAGGCGCGAGGCGCGTCTCGCCTGCACGATGGTAGCCCACGCTGGAGGAGACGGCACCCACCCGGGTAGCCGGCTCTCGAGCCACTGCGGCAGCGGGATCACGGAGACGGGCTGGTAGTTTCGCCGAAAGGCGGCCGTCACCTAGGGTCCGGGTTGGGCGTGGGCTCGGGTCGTCGCATCGTCCGGCGCTGGTCCGGGTCCGTCGCAGGGCGGGTGACAGTCATCTCGTGTAATCTCGTGTGATCTCGTGTAATCTCGTGGTGCGGGGAGGTCGCAGGGCCGGTGACGAGAGGGCAGCAGCGCAAAGGAGGAGGGCGCGGGCTGGCCTCGCGTCTCTGCCGCGTCTCTGCCGCGGCGGGGCGTCCCTCAGCCACATCTCCAGTCCCCATCTCGGCCGCGCCTCGCCTTGTGCAGCAGCGGATACCAGCCATTCAGGATGGGTCCGGCAAAGGCAAAGCCAAAGAAGGTCATCCGCAGCGTGCGGCCGTAGTTCCACCCGCTCTTCTGCGGAGAGCTGACGTTGGAGCGCCGCTCAATCTGCTGCGCCGCGATATCCCCGCCACCGTACAGGCACGCAGCCGTCACCGAGTTGGTCAGCAGCGGCTGCGCGGCGAGCGTCTCGACGTACAGCCTCGCCGGCATTTCAAGCCGAGCCCGCAGGGCGGCGAGCGTCTCGACGAGCTGTGCCTCGGTCCGCGCCCGCACCGGTCGCGCCGCCGCAGCCAGCTCTCGCGCCCGCGCCTCCACCCGCCGCCACTCGGCCCGCGCGAGCACGTACCGGCTGCCCCGCCGCGCGAGGCGTGCGACCCTCCCGGAGGAGACCCAGTCGGCGAAGGTCATTGCAGAGTGTAGAGCGCTGTAGCGCTGTAGAGCGCGATAGGCCGACCGGCGACAGCAACTCTTTCGGCGGCGGCGAGAAATAAAAGAAATTTTCGTTCGGTTACCGACTGCACTCCAAGATACGAAGAGGCAGACTCCCCAGGGTGGGCGACGGCTAGCGCACCACACTCCTCTCCTTAAAATCCCTGTGTGGTGGCGGCGTGCCGTTCTCCCATCCCTCCCTTGGGTTGTGTGTTTTCTTTCTTTCTTTTTTCCAAGTGCTCCAAGTGCTGTTAATAACAAGCGAAGGCACACACACACACACACACACACACACACACACACACACACACACACACACACACACACACACACACACACACACACACACACACACACACACACACACACACACACACACACGCGCGCGCGCGCGCACACACACACACACACACACACACACACGCACGCACGCACGCACGCACCTCCCCAGAAATCCCGAGGAGCCGTGCAGTGCCTAGATAAGTCTGTGTGCTGTGTGGTGCACGCCCTCCGAGCGGGGCGGGGTCTGCCCGTCGGGTTGCTGCCCTAATCCCACCAGGGGTTGACTGCTCTAGCTTCGGTGCGCCGCCGAGTCTGAGCTTGGTGCTGACGCTGGTTTATTTATGTAAAGAGTGAATGCAGTCGAGAGGACAGGGGAGGGAATAAGTGAAGGCACACACAACATGACGCCAAACACACGATTGCACGCACCGCACCGCACCTCGCACCCCGCGCCCGCCGCCCCCCCCGGCCCCCGCCCCGCCTAGGTGGGAAAGAGACGAGGAGATGGAACAGCCCGAGGAAAGGAGGAGACAAACACGTATGGGAGGTTAAAGTTGTGCACCACGCCGCCCGGCGTTTCTCACTTTCCGGGACAGCCCCGCCCTTGTGAGGCAGGAAAGTGGTGGCTACCCCGTACGCCCAGCCTGCTACGACCCCCTCGCCGACCGCCCAT